TATGCTAATGAGGCGCATAAAAATGTCAGCTCTGTGGGAAAAATCCAGTGAATATGTTTGCTCAAAACTAAGTTGAGATAGACGTACCTTTTATCAAACTTTCTGATCGTTTTGCCGTTAGCTCCCTTCAGACTGAATGACCCGTACTGACAGCAACCATTTTCGCTTCCGCGCCAGTGTAGAAGAGACAGCTGACTCTCATTTTCACGTAAGTGACGTACAACAAACTGCGCTTTCCTTTGGCTACGGCTGGCGTTAGTGCCAATCGGAGTTTTCAACCATGCTAGGTTTAGTTGTTGGTCGACCTTGTGAATTACTTCGGTGGAAAGAAACAAGAATGTGCTATGTTGTATGTTCTTACCTCAGACTTCTATTTGGTAACAGCAAGGTTGCAGAACTCCATTGTTTCTTAACCCAAATATGCTAGTTTCCAGCTCATGAAAAGCATGCTTAGGACAGGCCAACATGAGATCTTCAATGTACTATCAATCGAGACTGTCAGGTCATCAATTGCAAGCAATATCACCAATTTGTGGTAGTTTCAAAAGATATATATATGAGTGCACAAATGTTTTCTTATGAAAACAAAAATACACCATTACAAAAAGCAACGAACTGACCAGCTTAAGAAATGGCCTTAGGCGAACTGGACACACAGAGACCAATCATTAATTCTTCGTACTTGTAGAATACTTCGATTGCGAGACCAAAATGTAAAACAACAGAGTAGCCAGGTATAAATAATATTGTTGATGAAATGTGATAAGATACCGAGACACTTCGACTAACTTGCTAGAAGATCATATGTTAGCGACGCAACGTGATACAGCTGCATTCTAAATGGCGTGTATACTTGACCCTGAGCTTAACATATCCATAAAGGTCAGCGTCAATGTTGAATATGGTAGAAACTAAAGCTGATGATCCCGGCGAATTATTTACAGCTACAAACTGAAGAATCCCGTTGCTGGCGAAAAGCTTGTCTGTGGTGTATGTACTGCTACACTGTACGAAACCCTCAAGGCAAGAACTTATGTGACTCCTAAATTTAATATGATATATAGTTACGGTTGAAGTCGTTTGTGCTACTCAGTTATACACGTCTCGAAACCAACTTTGTAATGAAATTCTTGCAGTTCGACCAGTCTCTTGGAGTAAAAGTCTTTCATCATACATGGAATTGAGAACTCAGTCTTGAAATGCTGCTGATGATTGCTTCAAAGCTTCTTTACGGGTTGACGTGTTCCAGTGAAACAGTGCTAACCGGTAGTAAATAGTGCTTATTCCGTAACAATACCCTAAGACTTTATTTAAATTGGGTTTTCAATGTCAGCGAGGAAATATGAATGAAAACCTACTTTATCTATCTAATCAGAGCCATGAATATCATTCCTAAGTGTTCTGACTGCACCATCTATGCAAATTGTTACATAGTGGGATCACGAACAGTTTTTTTTGTTTAGGACATAACTTTGTGTTCAGGACCTTTGTGTGTCTATTCACTTATGTAGTCATGAAAATTCATAACTGTCACACCATTTCTTGCCTTTATTTTTCTACATTTGTATTCTTTCTGCTTAACGCTTTGTACTAGATCATCTGTACGCTGATGACTCAATAACTCATGATTTCATCTTCTCTTCCTGCTCAATTTTTTATTGAATTAAATATTCCCGTAAGAAGATATTGCTTTCGGTTGTTTTCCTGTCCCGTACAAACAACAATGAACAGCTTGTGATATCATTTTCTTAAAGAAGCATTTGCCTATAGTACGAAGCGTCTATCTACCCTTACGAAATATGTCGATTTCCGTGCGGTATACCAGTTAAGCTTTTGGTATTATGCTTTTGAAAGAATCGTTTAGTCAGCCATCAAACTCCACTTCCCATTCCTTAACAATTATATATTTGAGATCTAATTTCCATATGTATTTTTGCCTGCCTAGCTGTTCATTCGGTGGTTTACAATTTAACATTATCGCATAATCTATTCACAATACCTTTGTCGGCAATACACTTGTTGAGATGAGCTAAACCTTTTAGGTATGTTAGATTTGACTACTTGTAGTATTATAGATTAGAATTACTATATAGCTATATTGGTTGAGTTCTAGGTTCAAAGAAGTCTTTTCATTTATTTATGTGTTGTCTTTGTAACTGAAAACACCATGTAATATAGACAGTAAATGTTGCAGATGCAACTAGCTATGACATACTGTCAAATTAACTTCAAATTTTACTGAGATATAAAATGTAAGGGAAACATGATGGCAATAAGTAACATTATTCTAACAGTTCTGTTTTGTGTGGGATTTATTGATTTCAGGTTGGAATTCATCATAGACTAACATCAGTTGGAGGAACATTGGAAACCTGGGAGCACTGGACAGCTGTTTCGTCCTAGCATGGAACTCCTCAGCAGAGCATACCAGTGACTCTGACTGGGATCAAACCCAGGACCTCCACGTTCCGCGGCCAGCACGTTACCATTGAGCCACTGGGTCGCAATCCAATGGGGCATATTTCCTATTTCTGACATTATTCTAATAAGACAAGTTTAAACTGAGTTCGTGTTAAATGAGAGATAATCAACGTGGTTTACTAATAAGGCATCTGAAAATCTTGAACATGTTTTCGTTCTATTTCTAATTCTTGATTATCGCTTATATAAAATTTACATTGCGCTGACGGCACTGATAAATACTAATTTTCTTACCTTAAGGGCTAACTGAATGACTAGCAAAACAAAGATTTGTTGGTTACGTTAACTAAATTAATACATTTTTATGTTGAATAAATTAAAATGCATGAAAATATGATACGGACGACATAACACTTAAATGATTTTAAGATAGCACTTATTCAGTTATGATTGGAAAGACATCAGTAGACAGTCAAGTTTTCACCATCGTATTTGCCTACATTTCTGTCTATTATAACGCTAAATGACCCCAGTAGGTATATCCATAGGTTTTTGAGATTGCCAAGACTCCCATCACTTATTAGATAAAATCTTTGACCAGAGTTACCTGTAACCAGGTACAAACACTTTGTATTGGCTACCTTTAGAAGACTGAAAAGTTGTACCAGAAAAAGCTTTTACGTTGTGATGATCATCTATGGCATATGTTGTGTATGTTGGAAAATGTACTGTCAACGCCGTTTGTTTACCTAAACAGAAATTTCGACATCTAAGTTCCATTCTCAGCATACGTTGATAAAGATGTAAAGTTGGTACACTCTTCTCTGTTTATTAAATTTAAAGCATCACTGTATTAATTCATTCACTCAGTTTGTATTGAACATACTTTGTTACATTTCAATTTCAACCAACTAACCTTATTGCACTCAAAGTTACCGATTCGTCCGTTTGTGAAGTCGTTATTTTAATAAGACTGATGTCTCTTACCGAATATCAATTCATTCAACTTGCTGTTTTGAAACTGCATCTTCAACTACAGATTGTTGGTATTTTTGCTGTTATGTCGGGTGTAGTCTAGTGCAGCTTTACCGTTGTTCCGTGATGCGTCGATAAGAGGTATCCAAATAGACATATCCAAAGATTATTCTTCCTCTTGGGACCTAGTGTTCTAACATTTTTCTGTAAAATGTATGGTCATGCTTAGGAAAGTATTATTTCATGAGGTTTCACAGCTATCTGAAGTTCATAGTAGTGTTGGGCAGTAGGGAATTTCGAGTAAAACTATGTGCTTCGAAAATGTGTTTCGCTCGAGACATTCAAGCAACGAAAGCTAGTAGACTATGCTGTGTGAAAGCACACGACTAACCTATATCTATGACCAGAGATTGAATCAAAAGAACTCAAAGAATAAATATTACCGAAGTAAGCATTTGATGATTTGGCATCGAATGATCAGTAACGTTTTCGAAGCAATACAGATAAGAAATAAGAGCTGTTGAAGGATCTTCAATTAGTTACATCAATGAGAAGTCAAAGATCCTTACACACTTCAATCACCTGATGTTTCTTCAATAGACTAACCAGGAAAATCTACACATATACCAAACGGTGAAAACTGCGAAGAAATTTTAAAAAATGCACGTTTTAACCTAACTACGCAGGTAAATGTAAGGGTGAGGGAGCATAGATTATGTGTCTAAAGCAGATTCCAAGACTTTAAGCAGAGATTAAGAAGCTGAAATGAAATCCGTAATTGCATTATACTCTGTAGGAATGAGCTACAAAAATTCGACATTGACAAAACTAAGAACATGCAAAACGGTTTCAGGACAAGTAACAACCGAGGCACTACATATATGGGTGAATTCAGATAGTTTGAACAGACGAGATATTTTACAGTTAGCTACCTCTTGACAATTACTAGTTAGCAGAATAGAATGAGCGACTCTTGAACTTACTTTCAACACCAGACTCATACTTATCATCTCTGCATCAACATACAATCTGGATTGACTTGATTCATTGTTATTATACTATCACTATACTATCATTATTTCCATCTTATTCCTACAAATCAATGAAAGATTGGTTAACACTGACTCATCCCTACATACCAACCGAAACGACACACATATCCACTTCACAAGCTCTACCATACTTACATATTAAGTTACCGTATCACCATAATGTCATCTGTGACCTCTTCTGTATCGTATTTACATTGCCGGAGGACATGAATAAAAGTGTGTACACACACAATTTCACACTGAATGATTATTGGTATTTTAGAAAAACAATGCCTATGTGAACAGGATTGGACAAGGAGATTAAGTATACTTTTTTGAATTCATTTACATATTTCTGATAGTTTAATTTCGATTATTTCGCTGAAGAAGCTTGGATTAGACTTCTGTGCCAAACATTGAAATTTTTCAGTTCAAACATGCAGTAACTCATATAAATATAATATGTATCTAAAACACATTGTTCAAAAATACAGTCCTTGGAAATAGTTTATGTACAATCGACAAAATGCAGAGCTATTTATCAAAAATATATCAAATGTTTTCGAAATCTTGTCATGAATTTGAAGGTGGTAACAGATCATCATCACTGACACCTGATAGTGAACACGAATATTCATCAACCGAACCAAGGGATCGAGCACCTAAACTCATGGAGAAAAAAAACAGAAGGGAGAAGTCAGTGTTAAAATATAAGTTATTCAGTTCTTAGAAAACTTTTTCACACAACAGGTTAGATCACATTGTAATTTCGTTCAAATGGTTGGTTATTTACTGACAAATCACATTCTATTTAGTTAGTGAAACCAATTTTAGATTAAGTACTCAGATTAAAACACAAAATTCGATGTCAAAATGAAATGAGGCGGCAAAGTACTTTCATCAATTGGACACATTATATAATGAAAAAGTACATCTGATGAATACGCTTTTAGATCAAATTTAAGCTTTTCGGTGAGTCAAGTTGATCCACTTTGATTACAAAAAATTAACAAGTGATATAATCACTACAGGTTAGGGGTTAGGTAGTTGACCTTAGTTACTAGATAAATGGATCTATTTACCATTCTAGAGGCAGAATTTGTATGAACCAATTGTGTGTAAGACAGACAACTGGTCAACTAAGTTTCCTAGGTTAAAAATCTCAGCAGGTAAGTAGAAGTAATAACAATTCGAAACCACGAACACCCTTAAAGCAGTGAATTATACAGTTTCCAAAATAACAGACAACTTTTCACTATTCAATTCATAAAATGATACAGCTTTAATTCAATTTAATTCAATACCCTACGTGATGCGATTTGTTAGATGCGAGTAAGAAGAAAAGACAATATTAAGCTTAAACAATTGTACCTTTTGTATCATGGCTTTTCCCCCGAAGAAGTAATTTAATCTTCAGTTGTATGTTGCTTAAGATTAATCATCCGTTATTGCTGCATGTTTTGCAATTGAGAAGTAATAATAGTTTCAGTGTAATCTATATTGCTCATTTGCTAGCATGAACGACGTTGTTGCATATTCTTAGCTTACTGTGTTGTAGTTATGTCAGTTACATCGATACACACATGAATAGTAAATTTTCACAAAGAGCTAGGAGTGGTCAGATAAAATGATCACCATTATTCGTTTCGTTTTCATTTTAATTAGGGTCTTATAAATATGAGAAGCTGTAGACAAGTATAGATGATGCTCTTTCACAGCAAGGTACATAACAAGTTTTAGTCGTGTTACAGTAGAAAAATTTTACTTTAAAGTTGTAACAAAATTATTGACAATTTATTCTTCATTAGAATCAGTATTTTTAACAAATTTATTCATTTCAACAAAACAACAGCACACTTTTCGAAGGATTCGAATAATAATATGGTAAGAACTTAGATGCTTTTCACATAACTTGGATTTTTACTCTATAGATCATGATTTTTTTTCTTTACTTATTCAATTTACTCACTGTTTCTTGTGTCAGCAGCTTGGTAAGTGAAATATACGAGAAAAAGAAATATATAAAGCTTAAACTCACTCTTTGTACATTTTTTTTTCGGTTGTACGTAAAACTGCTCACGGTTCAATATTCTAGTATCTCCAGACTCTAGTTGGACCTATTAAGTAAGAGCAAAAAGTAACACGATCGAACACTGCTGAATGATAAACAATATTTAATGGACAAGATTTAAGATAAACTACTATGAGCTTCATTTGTGTAATGTTTAATTTAAAGAAATAAAATTCTCAAAACTTTACTCACACTTGATATTTTCAAAATATTAGAGTGAACTTGAAAGGCATTGATAAAGCCGGACGCTGTTTAAAAGATATCCGTTTCAAACAAAGATGTACTTTAAGTTCAAAAGCTAGTGAGTCAATCTAAATAAAACATAACTAACTTTACAGACAGTAATCAGATAAATAACTCAACACATTATTAGTAGTACTTAGTTGTCAGTGTCTGTGAGGTGTGGTGAAAGACGAACAGACAAACGAAGTCACACGAGTGCATCGGTTCAAGTTGCCACACTTCACAGTACTAAACAAGAAGTGGATACAAAAAGACATCAAAGTATATAAAGGTGAATGAGAGGACAGGGGATTCAGAAATGAAGGCTAGTCAAAGTGCTCAAGTTTCAGAAGACGTCAATACATTTGCACCATTGTGAACGATTTTCAGCCATCTTAACAAGAGTGCTCAACCACTGATTCCCTTTGTCTCGAGGACTCCAATCGGACAGTCTACACCACCGTGCACGGCTCAGATCAACAGACAGGGATTTAATGCAATGGTGCCACGTCTTAGTCTGGTCACTCTGAGCTTTCTTCCGACTTAATGTAACTTCCTCCTTGCATCGCATTTCGATGTAAGTGGTAGCTCGGTATGCACAGGAGCACAAGGTGATTACTTTGCACCACTGAAGCGCAAAATTCTTTTACAAGATTGATAGGAGCTTTTACCTGCACTCAATTTCAGAAGTGAACAGTTGAAGGGTGTCGAAAAGTTTGTGTGTCTGGGTCATTTTGTGGGTGCTGGTTGAGTTTTAACTGATGAGATTTCTATCCATATGTCAACCTAGAGTAATCTTGCTGAAGATGCCCATCAATTCAGCATATACGATCAGTCTTGTTTCCGTAAGACTGCTGGCATGAGGCAGAAACGCACTATGAGCAATAATGAAGGCAGGTTGCGAATTTTTGCGTAAGACGGAAATTGCTAATCATTGAGTGACGTCATACTGAAAGACTGGTTTCGGTTGTTTGGAATTCCGCTTAAAATATCACCTCAGAGACTGACATATCGTTCACTGTTTGTTAGCCTTTAGACTGGAGACGTTGTCGGTGCATGAAGTCCCAACATGGAATGTAAGATAGATATGTTGAGTAAGCACTTGTAGATGCTTCAAGTCTCCTAGGGTGGGAATCGGAATGAGAGATCCTATAAACCAGTGGCTTGAGATGAAATTATATACGACTTGGAAATGCAATTAGTGGCGATTAGTTCGTCCTATTTTTATGAAATGTCGCACGAAAATAATCAAAGATTTCTTCTATCTTCTGTATCTGCTAGCATGTTTATACTGTGCCTAGCGTCGCAGACGCTAGCCAGTCTTATACCACCTTGTTTGTACAAGAGGAACAAAACTAGGGGACTATTCAGGATTTCATTCAACCCATACATATAATGATTGAAACTTCGCATAATGTAATAAAAAGACGCAGATTATCTAGGAAATGTGATGTATTTACGGAATACATTTCAAACAATCTGGTTGCACATGTACTTGTCAAGGCATTTCAGATGGAAGATGAAAATAAGGTAGGATAAAGTGCATAAATGAAGATACCACAAGATTCGGAAAATGTAAGGATAATAAGGCGAAACAATACATTTCCACATACATATTGTGAAGTAGGAAATAATCGTCAGCTTCATTTTCTCAACGTACCATTGACTCGATGGGAAGACAGATCGATAAAAAGATGAGCTTACAGAAAACCAACATGGGCCAAACAGTACCTGAACTTTCATAGTTTCTGTCCGATATTGTACAAACGGGGTTTATTAAAATACTTATTCAAAACAACTCAACCTACATGCACAACAGATATCTTGGGAGAAATCAAATTCTTAAAACAGACACTCATGAAAAAGCATATCCTCTGGAGTTCATCAGTCGTTATAAAAACGTCCCAACGATGCAAAATAGTGAGTATTCTGTCCTGAAGAAAGATGCTTACATATCACGCTCACGTATAAGTGCGATCTTAAGACGAAGGATTATTTGACGCAATTAAAGAACATAGTATATAGCCAAGCTCAGCATAAGAAAAAACAAACCTGTGAAACAAAATAAACCACATTACTACACAGTTGATTATGTTACATCCGCTGTGTGTGTACCAACTTATACGTGTGCGCGCTAACACATAAACTCAGACGAGTAACCGCACTGACAAGTCGAGGACGATGGAGTGTATCCCTAAATGGCTGGGAAGACGACCGCATTAACATGATAACATAAATACAGGAGACAGACAGACGTCATCGTATCCACAAACACATTCATCAATCATCAACGAAACCACGCATTTCTGCGTAACGGTCCGAGTTGCCACACCTCGTACCACCATATCAAGTAAAAAGGCAGCCAGGGGCAAGATGAAGATAAGAAAATTCAGTCAAAAGAAATATAAAGTATGAATAGAGAGAAAAGAAGAATGAGAAAATGGTGAGATTAGATATAATGTTAAGATGAGGATAATGTATGTATACATCTGCGCCACTGACATCGGTTCTCAGCCATACCACCTAGAGTCTCCAACCACTGATTCTTATTGTCCTGCGGACCCCAACCGACCAGTCTGCATCGCCCCACATGGCTCAAACCAACAGTCAGAGACTTCATACATTGGTGCCATGTTTTAGTCTGTCCGCCTCGGACCTTTTTCCAGTCTGAACCTACTTCGGCCAACATTGTGTGACTAGGCACACGTAACACATGTTCCAGTTAGCAATCTCAATCCATGAAGGTTCACAACCTCGTCAACTGACCTACCTCTTCTCCTAGAACTCTACACCTGACTTTGCATTACTCAGTGATGACACCATGGAATACGACCTATACTACGAAGGCAACGGTGACCAAACATCTGCAGCCAGCCTTCTCATGTCTTCCACCTTCAATGGCCATGTTCACAGTCATAGAGTAGAACAGAAGGGACTGCTCTGCGACCCTGGCGAAAGCCAATCGAGCCTTTTGCATCCGTGCAGAGATTTCATCAGCAACTGAGCCACCAGGGCAGGGCTGATCCTACTTCCCAGGTAAGTGAAGTGGTCGACACACTCAACCACTACACTCTCTATTGTTAGTCGCAGTGAAGCACCGTTGAAGACCAATCCTGGAGCAACAATTTGCATTTCTATGATGAGAACTACATCTCAAACATTCTCAAATTACCACTCAGTGTTCAGAAGACTCTGCATCTCATCAGTCAGTGTTTTCACCTAACAGGACTATATCATCTGCATATTCTAGGTCTAACGAGAATTCTCCACCGATTAGGTCAACGTCTGTGCAATCAGGCGACGAGAGCGAGACCCCCATAAGAATATCTATGATAAAATTGAATATGAATGGAGACAGCGGAGAGCCTTGACGGATACCACTGGATGAGCATAAGTCTCTGGACATCTCACCACAGGCTCTATCTAACACGCCCACAAGTGTTCGAGTAGAGAGCCTTCAATAAGGTGATGTACGTACTTGGTACGCCTTTCAGTGAGAGATATTGCCATAAGACTTGTCGATCAACAGAGTGGAGTGCCGCCTTCAAGTCGAGAAATACAGCCAGTGTCGGGCATCGGTAAGCGTGTCTATATTCCAGGACCTGGCGCAATGTGAATATTTGGTCGTTACACTCACGACCGAGTCTAATGCTTGCCTGTCTGGTTTTCTCGGTCTTGCTGTTCCTGAGCTCCACTCAGGCGTCGACGAATTTTAGAACCTATAGAATTTTAGGTACTATGTTCGTCAGGCTGATTCCTCTGTGGTTATCACAAGAGGACTTCTTGCCTTTCTTGAAGACTGGGATAACCAGTGATTCAGAACAGTCAGATGGGGTCACATGTGATTCCCATATACTAGTTAATGCATGCTAGTTAACCTGACTAAGAGCACTCTACCACCATCCTTGTATACCTCTGGAGTTAGTCCGTCTGGTCTTGCTGACTTTACTCGTTTCAAGTTACCTATCGCTTTCTCGACTTCTGCAAGTGTTCGGGGCCTATCTCAATGTTCCATTCAGGATACGACTGGATGGCGGGCAACGCAGTGGTAACTGGAGACCAGTTAAACTGTTCCTCGAAGTGTTCTTACCATCGTTCCAGTCGTTTCCCCTGCTAGTGAATCGCAGATCCGTCCTTCTCCGCGGTAGCCTCACTAACCGTTGTTGACCTTTTCCCCCTAGTTTCCTTGATAAGTCTAAATAACTGTTTACTGTTACCAATCACCACTGCCTATTCCATCTCTTTAGCCCACCATTGTTCGCGGTCGTCGCATAGACTTTTTTTCAATCTACTTTTTAGTTGCACTCGCTCTTCATTGTACTCAGAGCCTGCAACCAGAGATGCATTGACGTGCATCCATTAGTTCGGAAGAAGCTACTGATATCCACTGGCACTTTTTAGTCACTCTTTCGGAGTTGGCTACGGTCTTCAACTCTGCTTTCTCACCAGACTCGAGATAGCATGAAGCTTCTTCTGGATGAGTGATAGTGTTCTGTTCCTATAACTGCCTAGCCAACTTCTCACCGAAAGCGGCTTTGATGTTTTCGTTGTCGAGCTGCAGTCGTAATGGTTTTGTTGCCAATTTTTCCCTACGTCCATTGAGACACAGGCATATAGGTGCTCGGGCCAACGCGTGGTCGCTATGCAAGCGTGTTGTACTCCAGAAGGAGAGACAGTCTTCCACCGATCCTCTCCAGCGATGACTAATGGCAATGTGATCTATCTGTGTCCATCGCTGAGTTGAGCTCGGTGGACGCCACATCAGACAGTGTCTTTCTTTATGTCTGGAATTTGTGCTAGCTGAAAATAAGCGGTTATCTGAGC